TAGTGTGGGAAGAGCTAGCCTTCCTGGGTGACACACGCAGCCGCCATGAACTCTTGGTGTTTGCACAAGCTAACCAGTCGCGCCTACCATTGGCCATGGGCATCGTACAGCCGCATATACCTGTTCGCCGCATGGCCAGCGAGCGCAAAACGAAGCTGACCGATGCACTAGTCAGAATCTTGAGCCGGTTCCTGACACCAGCCACGATCTCGATGGAAGGGGCCCATGACAGTTATTACCGTGAGTACCTCCTCCCTCTAGCAGCCCACGGTGATGGACATGTCTTAACGGTCTCAATTGCACTGTTGCTGGCTATTCTGACAGGTAGATCCGACTTATGTATTGCAGGGGTCTCTGGTGCTGGCAAAACGCGGTCCCTTGCGGTCTTGCTCATTGCACTGAGCTGTGAACTCAAGGACTTTGTTGCGATCGTCTATACGAAAGAAAATGTAGCTGCCAAAGCACTTGCGGATCAATTAAGTGATCTCGCGCCCCCCACAATCAGGAGCTTCGGTAGGCTAATTGGTCGCATGGAAGAAGGTAAAGGAGAAGCATATGCCTCAAAAATTGACGTCCGGTGCAGTGACCGTAATAAAATCATCGCGTACAAGAATGTGCTCATTGCAACAGGTGGCTCAGCCACGGCTGAAATGGCGATGCGCTATTCCACTTTTGGTCATTGGATCTCTCGCACCTGGCTAGCTTTCATGGACGAAAGCCAACAGTATGGCAACTACCATGAGATCGCAGCTCTCGCTGCCATTCAACAACCAACTCTCACTGTCTTCATTGGCGATCACAGGCAAACTCCAGGAGGGCTGTCAAAAGGTCGAGCAGCGGCTGCCAATCGACGCAAACTGCTGCAACGGCCGTTAGGGCTCAGAGCGCTTGATAGGCCAGGAGACTATCTTCCACCGGCACGAATGGCAGCACTTGTAGCTCAGCTTTGGCCTGATGCGAGCCAAGATCCGGAGTCAGATCTCTTTAGTCTGCTGAGACTTGCAAACAAGCCGCATAGTGGCCCATGGACATCCACTCTGCAAGACTACGAGCTGCCTGTCGCCCTAGGGCGGGTGTTTCACTGCCGAATCTCGTGCCAGCTGGATGCACACAGCAGCCTACCATAAGGATCAAATAACATAAAATTTTATATAATACATAATTTTTATGTATTTAAATAAAAATTATATATATATATACAAAAATTATATATATATATATAAAATAAAAATTATGTATTTATATAAAATTCAAAAATAAAATTTTATATATTAATATATAATTTTTATTTTATATATATATATATAAAAATTATATATATAAAATAAAAATTATTTTTAAAAATATATAAAAATAATTTTTATATATTTTTGTTGTTTTTGATGTAAACTGAACTGATCAGTTTTCATATTGCATGAACGTTTTTTCAAACAAATTGTGTGCTATAAAAAGGAAAAATACAACTAAAATCATTCATTTCCGCCGCATTAATTGAAGGGATTTAGGGGCCGGCTGCTAGGACTTGCAAATGAGCCTGTGTATACGTGCCTCCATCCCAACAAGATGTTAGTGTCCTCATCCAGTGAGGGTAACCCACAGGGCAATCACTATATCAATTATAGTGAGTGTGCTTTGCAGAGCATTGAATCCTGGTGCTCTGCAGCGTGAGGGACGCAACAGTCATGAATTGATTGTGGTGCATCGAACGCGTTCATTGTCTTGTAAGATTATATGAAAGCTTATTCATGACTCAAATGGTAATTCTAAATTTGCAATGTTTTTTTGGAACCTGCATGGTTGGTTTCGACAAAGCTGTTTTGCTCGATCGCTTTGTTGTATATATTGCGCTGCCTATGTCAATGCAGCTGGCATTGGTGCAATTTTTTTTCAACTGGATGTGGAATAGTGCAGAAGAAGATCACGAAATACCAGTTGAACACATAGAGTTGCTTAGGGATTGGGCCAGACGGACTTTGAAAAATATCGGAAGAACCAGGGCTTTGGCATCGATTGAAGACCTGTACATCACAGCAGACATGACATGCCGCATCTGGGACGAAAAACGTGGTTACCCACATTCAGAAGATGTTTTGCCACGCCCGGCCGACGTGACATCGATTGCCGCTTGGAAGATCCAATCTTGGCGTTCTTTGCATCATAATGACAGAGGTTTCCTTGACAGCACGAGCTGTGCAGAGGCAGCATTGATGAAGATGCGTACGTACTGTTTGGAACAACGTGATGGCTCAGAGACCGCACCAGATGAGTTTTTTTTTTGGAAGATCTCTTGTTCTTGGTTGACGCTTTCAATTCAGTGAAGTAGAAAATCGAATTGGGAACAATAGCACCACAATTCAACCTCCAACGTTGTTTGACTGACGAAAAAGTACAGTATCATGTGCATTGCAAACTTGAGTGTGTGCATCCCGTAGTTGTGTGATATCAGCCAGTTGTGATATCAGCTGCAGTTCGATTTGTTTCATGGCCACACGTTTTTTTGGTTTCCGTAGCCATTTCTCCTGTTAGATTTGGATGCAAATAAATTCAAATACAGTTTGAACAAATACTGAAACCTTTCAAAATATATCAATTGTCCTTCTTCAATTTCCAGAAACATCCAGCAAATCAAAAAACATGTTTTATTCTTGACAATGATCTATAGGGGAAATAGTGAATATTCGTTTCATTTTTGTTTGATGAAACACGATCGAGGAAAATGTAGCACCATCAAAGTTTCCACTGGTCGATCATGCAAATTTCAAAGCCATGCAAATTTCAAAGCATTACTTTTGGCAATGGCAGTTTTTGGAAGCAAGCCGAATTTGACGACCACCATGCAAGAGCTGTTGGAACCAATTTTGGCCATTGACAGGCAGATCTAAAGCCTGCAAGAGCACATCAATCAGTTCAATTTAGCCTGCAAGAGCACATCAGGCAGTTCAATCGTGTTCCTTATTGACCACGTGGACTCGTGAACTCGTGACGATGCCGCTCAGACTTCAGAGTGTGAGTGAGGCACATCGCGCCTCACTCACCTTCTGCGGTTTCTGATCCAGGCTCTATATATTGTTGAATTTTCAATAAAAAGGGTATATAGTATACTCAAAAAGTCGACTTTTTGAGGAATTTCAAATTTAAATTCTTACAAGCACGCGGACAGCCATGTGGTATCATAGGATATTTCCTCACGTACCACATTGCTGTCCGCGTGCTTGTAAGAATTTAAATGGTATTGTTGCCAGGCATCCGGAAGTGGATCCTTTTGCCATGCTAGGGCTTCGACAAGCTCGACGTGCATGTGGTATGTGAGGAAATATCCTATGAGGCCTCATTGTATATTCTCTCCAGAACTTGGAGGAAATATCCTATGAGGCCTGGGTTGGGTAGATCCTTGAGTCCCCCCAGGAGGTTGGGTGGTTGGGGAGACCCACTTGGAGCCATATCCAAGTGGGGTCGTGCATCATCGCATGATGGCGACAACAGGGCTTTGACACGCCCGCTGGAACGATGCTGTTTTTTTTTCTGCCCAGATGCCCGCAGGCCTCCACCGGTTTATGCCGCGGCCGGGCCGCTCGGGTGAGAGCCAGTCGAATGTTTGGGCTACGCACTGCAAGACTTCAAGAGCATCGTCATCACGTCCATCTGACAATTAGCTTAACTCAAAGCCGTCAGCTGGACCGTCCAGCTGACGGCATTGGGAGGTGAATGATCAACATCTTCGACATTTTGCGTTTTTTCGGCCAGGGCCTCATTGTATATTCTTTCCAGAACTTGGAGGAAATATCCTATGAGGCCTGGGTTGGGTAGATCCTTGAGTCCCCCCAGGAGGTTGGGTGGTTGGGGAGACCCACTTGGAACCATATCCAAGTGGGATCCTGAGGTGCGAAAGTCGCCTCGCTCTGCGCATCATGCTTGATGCGAAGCAAGAACTTCGGAAGCGGCCACATATCCTTTAGAGGTACTGCCACCGCGCGCGTCCTCGATTGGTAGTGGAAGTCCGTCGTCCATCTGACAGCTTGCTTAACCCAAAGCCGTCAGCTGGATCGTCCAGCTGACGGCATTGGGAGGTGAACGATCAACATCTTCGACATCCCTCAATTCTGGTGGTTTGCACCATACAACTGATCGACCTTTCAGCGAACGATCTTTCAGCTGTATGATACCGACCATGTATCTGGTCCTTTTTGCGTTTTTCCGGCTAGGGCCTCATTGTATATTCTCTCCAGAACTTGGAGGAAATATCCTATGAGGCCTGGGTTGGGTAGATCCTTGAGTCCCCCCAGGAGGTTGGGTGGTTGGGGAGACCCACTTGGAGCCATATCCAAGTGGGGTCGTGCATCATCGCATGATGGCGACAACATGCTTCGACAAGCTCGACGATACGCTGCTTGTTTGTTATTTTCGTCCTTGCTGCAGGCATCCGGAAGTGGATCCGTTTGCCATGCTACTTGCGCTTCGACAAGCTGGTCGAGACGCTTTTTTTTCGAAGGTGCCATGCTGACAGCTTGCTTAACTCAAAGCCGTCAGCTGGACCGTCCAGCTGACGGCATTGGGAGGTGAACGAGGGGACAACATGCATCTTCGACAAGCACCTGGTGAGCAGCGTGGATTGGATGTTTTTAAAATTTACCAATTCCTCTGTAAATTGATGCAGGACATATATCCACAATCAGGAGTTCCGGGGCCTGTGAGGCCCAGAGGTTCCGGAACTCCTGTTTGTGCAGCATGTCTAAAATTTACCAATTCCTCTGTAAATTGATGCAGGACATATCCACAATCAGGAGTTCCTGGGCCTGTGAGGCCAAAGGCCCGCAGGGCCAATGTTGTGGTGCATCGACCAGCGCTTATAATATCTGGAAAACAAATTCTATTGCTCTTTGCAACGTCCGTTTCAGTTAAGCAGCTGCAAGGTTCCATATGCATGTAATGAGAGCGTTTACTGCATGTAGCGTATAGTTTTTCAAGGCAGAAAGAAAACTAATTGTTCTTTATAGTTAGCCATGTCGAACGCAGAAACACCGTCGCCAGTGCACAAACTTATTGACCTTGTTGCTCGTCTTCATTATCGTTTGCAGCACCTCAAAGTGCAGCTTCAGATACTCGAACAGAAACAAAACATCATTGCTGACGAAATACGAGGCATCAAACGCAAGTGGGACACCCTAGCAGCCGATTCAGATGAACTTGCCCGGAACCAGCTGTCGAATGAGACTCGAAACCCAGAGGATGGAACGGTTGAGACTCGAAACCCAGAGGGTTCTGTGGATTTGTCACCGACTGCTGAGCTAGGCGACACATGGGCAAATGATGCCGATGGATAATATATATCTCTCCAATCTCAGCGACATGTTGCTATCTAACTTGTTGCGCAAGACTGAAAAAGCCATCGCGTGCACACAGAATTGAATTGCGAAGTTGCTGCATGGAGCATTCTGCTGCCCCGCATGTTGTTGAAGCAATCGATCTACACCATTTAGGAAAGCAGTGAGGAATCAAATGCATGATTTCAATCAGGCGTTTTGTAGTTCAAAGATGCACTTTTTACAATATCATATATCTTAAAAAAGATAAATAAAACAAAGAGAGACAGAGATACATAACATAAATGATTGAGGTGCAATCATTTCGGATTTCCCATATATGTTTGTGAGGCATGCATCACACGCGCAGCATGTTTGCTCGTGCACCCACTAGCATCAACTCAACTTTCTTTCTTAGCGTACATATGGCGGATGATAGAATGAGATCACGATCACGATCTCCCCAGCCGGAAACTTGGGGAGGAAAAAAAAGGGCAGATTGGCACAGACCAATTATCATTCAGTGCAGCCTCGAACCCATGCAGAAGTATCACAGAGTTTCTCCGCATTTTGAATGCTTGCGCGATTCCAACAGCATGAATCTGAGCCCGCCAGACAAAAAGTCTCTCTATACATTCTGGAAGTACATATATGGTGGCTGGACTTGGAAAACAAAGGTAGCAGACATTGCCGAAGAGATTTGCGACCATATGAAGAGGACTTTTGGTCTTACATTCAGGACTTTTGAAATCACTTTGACCTTCCTAGGACGCCAAGGTGCGTTTGAAGTTGGAGACACAGAGCAAAGTATTGAAGATGTGCTCGAAACAAATTTCCCCGGATGGAGATCCAAGCAGTTCTATGAAAACTTGGCTCAGAAAGATCATGACAATGAGTACGCGGCTTTTGTCCTCGAAATGGCATGCCACCCGAATTGGTGTCCTGAGCTACCATTTGGGAACGTCAGTCGCCCAGATCCACCATCTGGATACCTACATTGGACACCAGAGGATGAGACTAAGATGCAAAAGAATAAGGATCTGTGGAAGAAGCGAGCCACGGCGGCAGAGGCAGAAGCGTCAAGCGCCAAAATGGCCGGCGGACTAGCCAACATGCACTTCAAATGATGTGTACAAAGAACTTGTCTCATATGTGATCGATTTCGGCAAAATTAAACCAGTCCGCAGTCCACATATCATTCTGGATGTCTTTTGGTTTCCGACGCTGCTTTGCTTCGAACTATTATTTTGACCTTTGTGTTTCAGCATCGGGACCATTGAACGATTATAATTTCCTTCTACGTTCAAAAATGAACCATGTCCAAAACTGACATAAATATATATATATACTTACATTCCGGAATAATATTTCGCTGTCAATTGCATGTCGCAGCATCATTTTTGCCGTCCAGCATTAACTTGCGTCTCCGAAAGGGTTAATTGGGCAAGCAGCGACCGTAAAGCTGCTAATGCATTTCGCATGGCAGAGATATATTTATTCCATGCTGTTGACGTAACCTATAATTCCGAAACCGCTTGAACGCAAGCCATGCCGCCTGCCAATGCTAGCCAACATCGATCTGATCAAGAAATAGAAGAAAAAGCTCTTCGCGTGGCAAATCGGCTACGACCAGCAAATTTGGAATTGGTGAAGGCACTTATATCATCAACAGGGTGCATGAGGGACGAAGATTCTCCAGGCAGGCCAATCCCTATGAACGAGATTAGGCCCATTCAAATTCTGTTCATGATGGAAGCTCTTGCCGACACTGAATCTCCAGCTGACTTCGCACGCTATTGGGCCCAGTTGACTCGTGGGACACTGACTGAAGACACTGTGAGGAACTTGCAAGAAGATGTTCAAGATGCATTGCAACCAGAGATCCCTCCACCGGTCGAGAGCACCGTCCATACTATTGACTTCATAAGAATTGCATACAATTCCAGAAGCGTGCTATGGGTGAAGGAGACAACACCGCAAGGCTGGATAACTTGGAAGACCACAGAAAGATTCTTCAGCAGCATCCACAACGACTATGCCTCAGCTCAGAGGACTGCCAACGATTGGAGAAGATGGTATGGCATCGACGAGATCTCTGGAGATGGCAGCACCTTGCCTCAGCTTAAGTTATTCTTTCTGCTACATGTGTGTGAACCATACTCTGTCATTCCTGGCCACACTGATAAATATGAGGTCGATCAGCCAACCGCCAAGCTCAATCCTCGTCTGCTTCAGCATCGATCGCTCCCTATTGAGACTCTGAGTGATTTTGGTGTAGGCTGCCACTAGATGATACTGAGCGGGTTCCCATAGGTTAGTTTGGCTGCCTGTTTTGGAGATGTTAACTCTATATCTCCCGCCTGGCAAATGTACCATATACCAGCGACAAGAGCCGCGTTCTTCCTGGCAAAAAAATGACATGCATCACATCGATCTGTATTGTTTCTTGCAACCAGCTGGGCGTTGAACATTTCAGTGTGACCAAAAGTGGGTTTGTCAACAAATTTCTATTCAATATACTTGGGGGAAAAAACCCGACGCCTTCCTGATGAAGACTGCTACAGCCATTAGGTAAAGCTGCTACCAGCTGGGGTTGAACATGTCAGTGTCACCAAAAGTGGTTTTGTCAACAAATTTCTCTTCAATATACTTGGGGGAAAAAACCCGACGCCTTCCTGATGAAGACTGCTACAGCCATCAGGTAAAGCTGCTACCAGCTGGGCGTTGAACATTTCTTTTGTCCAGATCCTTGCAAATTTTGGTTCAGTACTTGGGGAAAAAACTCGACGCCTTCCTGATGAAGACTGCTACAGCCATCAGGTAAAGCTGCTACCAGCTGGGCGTTGAACATTTCTTTTGTCCAGATCTTTGCAAATTTTGATTCAGTACTTGGGGGAAAAACTCGACGCCTTCCTGATGAAGACTGCTACAGCCATCAGGTAAAGCTGCTACCAGCTGGGCGTTGAACATTTCTTTTGTCCAGATCCTTTCAAATTTTGATTCCATACTTGGGGGGAAAAATCGACGCCTTCCTGATGAAGACTGCTACAGCCATCAGGTAAAGCTGCTACCAGCTGGGCGTTGAACATTTCTTTTGTCCAGATCCTTGCAAATTTTGATTCAGTACTTGGGGGAAAAAACTCGACGCCTTCCTGATGAAGACTGCTACAGCCATCAGGTAAAGCTGCTACCAGCTGGGCGTTGAACATTTCAGTGTCACCAAAACTGGTTTTGTCCAAATCTTTGCAAATTTTGATTCAATACTTGGGGGGAAAAATCGACGCCTTCCTGATGAAGACTGCTACAGCCATCAGGTAAAGCTGCTACCAGCTGGTTCTTTTGTCCAGATCCTTGCAAATTTTGGTTCAGTACTTGGGGGAAAAAACTCGACGCCTTCCTGATGAAGACTGCTACAGCCATCAGGTAAAGCTGCTACCAGCTGGGCGTTGAGCATTTCTTTTGTCCAGATCCTTGCAAATTTTGGTTCGGTACTTGGGGGAAAAAACTCGACGCCTTCCTGATGAAGACTGCTACAGCCATCGGGTAAAGCTGCTACCAGCTGGGCGTTGAACATTTCAGTGTCACCAAAACTGGTTTTGTCCAAATCTTTGCAAATTTTGGTTCAGTACTTGGGGAAAAACTCGACGCCTTCCTGATGAAGACTGCTACAGCCATCAGGTAAAGCTGCTACCAGCTGGGCGTTGAACATTTCAGTGTCACCAAAAGTGGTTGTGTCCAGATCTTTGCAAGTTTTGGTTCAGTACTTGGGGAAAAAATCTCGACGCCTTCCTGATGAAGACTGCTACAGCCATCAGGTCAAGCTGCTACCAGCTGGGCGTTGAACATTTCAGTGTCACCAAAACTGGTTTTGTCCAAATCTTTGCAAATTTTGGTTCAGTACTTGGGGAAAAACCTCGACGCCTTCCTGATGAAGACTGCTACAGCCATCAGGTAAAGCTGCTACCAGCTGGGCGTTGAACATTTCAGTGTCACCAAAAGTGGTTGAAAATTTTGGTTCAGTACTTGGGGAAAAAAACTCGACGCCTTCCTGATGAAGACTGCTACAGCCATCAGGTAAAGCTGCTACCAGCTGGGCGTTGAACATTTCTTTTGTCCAGATCCTTGCAAATTTCTGTTCAATACTTGGGGGAAAAAAATTCGACGCCTTCCTGATGAAGACTGCTACAGCCATCAGGTAAAGCCGCTACCAGCTGGGCGTTGAAAATTACAGTGTCACCAAAAGTGGTGTTGTCAACAAATTTCTGTTCAATACTTGGGGGAAAAAAACGCGACGCCTTCCTGATGTCGACTGCTACAGCCGAGTCAGGCATTCCACACCTAGAACATCTTTCAATTTCCTTGTTTTGCATTCGCAGGCTTTGTGTTAAGGATGTTAGTTGCTGGTGTCCTTTGTTTCTCGACAAATTGGTGATCATGGCCTCGGAACGTTCGCGCACTGGTCCAAGCTCCCGACGCGCCCAACCATATCAGGAAAGGACTTCTACATGGACTACGGCCGAAGCCCCTTGGTTTGCTGGCCGTCGCGGGACCACCTCAGAGGCAACTCCACCGCCAGACCGACCAGTGTTTGCCATTGTGGACTATATGAGCCTCCGGGACTTCGCCGTGGATTTCGAGGAGCTCACTCCGTCCAACTTTGAGAATGCTACACTTCAAGAGCTGGAGGCCATTTTTACCTTCACACAACAATACTCGGCGGAAGTCGCCCATCAGATGCCAGTGGGCAACATACGATTTGGCGTTTGCCATAACCTATGGCGGCAATTCAATCTTCGGGTGGCCACTTCGGACGTTGAACTACGTTATCAAGATCTTGATGGGGACACCTTTCAAGTCTCGAATGACACCACGATTGTTGAGCTGTTAGACACGTATAGACCTGAGTGGCGCATTAGGCAGTCCGACTTCTTGTCCAGTGCCACGTTTGTTGGGGCCACCCAGCCCTTCCTTTTACGTCTTTCGTGTCACAAGTATCGTCCAGGAATAATCTTGCCGTAGGATATACAGTGGTTTTCCAGATGCTTCCTGCATCAGCCCAGACATTTTCCGAATCAGCCCAGGTGAAGAGGCACCAAATATTTAACAAACTAATACTGGCTTACCCAGGAGCCGATCTGCGGCCAAGCGGCTGGACACTGATGAAAACTCAATGAAAAAGAAAGATCGCGACACATGTCAGAACTTGTCATACATGCACGCTTCTTCTATCCATGTTTTCCACCATATATGCAGCGAAGTGCGAAGTGCTCAAGTTCAAGGATATATCTAGATATTGATACATCACGAAGTGGCAGCCATGGCCAGCGAAATGCATTCTGAACCATCGCACAGGAGCAGATCACCCATTCGTTGCTTTCCTTCTAGAGATGACAGAGAATTCGCTTGTCGCCCTGTCTTTCTCATTGTGAGTTTGAGACCCATGGGAACTCTCGGCGGCGAAGCCGCACGATTCAACCCAATTGAAAGTGTCCAAATGAGTTGTTCCGACGAAGCCGAGCTGAATGCAGTGTATACTTACTCCAAATACATTGCCATCGATCAGATGAATACAACCAAAGTGAACGACATCGAGGATGCTATGATTGATCTCATGGAATTGACTTTTGGAATCAGCTTTGAAAAGTACGAGTTCGAATTGTGGCTTGATCATGGACCAGGCTTTGCTCTGGCAGAAGCCAGATTCAAGACCATGCTGAAAGTGCTGGATACATGTTTGGATGGTTGGGATGGTGCCTTTCGTGCCCGCCAGCTTGATCGCGTAATTCCAGCCTATCAAGTCCGTATGTCATGTTGGCCAACGATGCGTTGCTTCAGCAGTGAGGATTCCTACAGAAACGCAATGAGTAGCTTTAGGCGGTTTCACAGATAAACTCTAAGAGAGCTCTTTAGAGAGAGATATTAATTCTTCCGAGCGTGAAGGAAAAGAATTGAACCGTTGTCGTTTGACGGCAGTTCGATAAGATTTTAACTCATGCATGGTGAGCATGCTTCATCTATCATGTTTTCTCAGTCGATTTGGTTCTCAGTGCCTAGGGAGTGTAATATATCTGTACTGTGGCATCCATGCCGCCTCCTGCAGTGATGATGGGCCCTGCAGGGAGGATTGGAAAGCCTCCGGTGCCACCTCCTATAGGTACACGTCCAGTCTTGATTATTGTAGACCTGATGCCTGTGCTGGACGTCGCCTACACACGTCCACATGACGGACGCTTCGACCCTCTCAGGTCATTACTCCACATGCCAGCCGATACGCTGCGAAGAGCAATGTGGATGTCAAACATGATTCAAGCTGTCAATGTAAGATGGTGGCCAACCATTTGGATCAAAGATCTAGTCAAACTGAAGTTCAAGGCTACATGGGACATCGAACTTTCAGACTCTGAGTTTCATCTACGCATCATTAACTCTGAGAGAGTGCCGCTGCCGATGCCAAGAGAAAATTTACAGAAAAGCATAGAAATAGTTCATCCCTTGTGGCTCCATGAGATGTGCAACCTGAGAGAACATTTGCAGCAGGATCAAGCGATTCCTGCCTTTCTAGTTCGGATGATCTGTTTTCCAGATCCTTTAGATGATTGATGATCCATCCGTGCAAAGGGATACTTCTGAGCAAGATCGATGCGTGGAAAGTCACAAAAAGTCATCAGTCATTATTGAAAGAAAAAGGCTTTGGGAAAGGCTCACCATGTTGGAGGCCTCAATATATTTTCTTGACACGTATGTCAATATAGTTAAACTGTATGTGCAGCCACATAGGTGTGCGTCGACGATTGTGTACCTTGCGCTTGGGTGAAGCCATTTCAGCTGCACAGTTGACATGTCGCTGCCAGCCCCAGCTGTGGCAGCAAGGCCACGCTTAAGACCAGATCCAGGCCTGCGTGCAGACTTGCTTGTTTTTTTTTGAATTTCAACATCTTTGCCAATAATGTGTCAGGTGTCTCGGTGGCCCAGATAGAAAAGGCTTTGGAAGATGGCATGAGAGAATTTGGGCGCCGGTTGTGGGGAAAGCATGATACCTTCATGGCTGCGGCCGAAGGGGTGCAGTGGGCTTCAGCTCCAGCCGCTGCAATTCCTGCTATGATGAAGGGAAAAGGAATCATAGTTGAGCTACTGAAACTGAATCCGAACGCCTGTATCACTGGAAAGAAGTTAGATTCGGCATTATTAGCTTGTCAGAAACGAGAAAGCATCAGCACTTCTATGACTTTCGAGCCACACGACGCTGAGAGACTGAGCGAGAAGATCAGAATAGTGTGTTGCAAACTCAGAAAAATGACAGAAGCCAAAGAGCCACTTGGCATCATTTGACCAACAAGTTCTTTATTTTTTGAATTGAAACAATAACCAGTTCTTACTCCAGGTGTGCTTTTGCGCTGTATGTATGCATGTGTTAACAATGTCAAGATTTTCCAGCAGCGTCATGCTGTAGGTTGGAGAAAGTGGAGAACAAAGCATCCCTAGAGCAGATCGCCGCCATTCGCACAATCATGTCCTTCGTGAGATACAACAACAGTGACTATGCCCCACTGCAAAACGACAGTCAGGACATGGTAGATCCAAACATTGAATTGCATGAGCTGGCAGCAAATACTCTTGCAAGCAGTCTTGTTTGAGAGTCAAATGATGTTTGCACATCAATGCAGGATCCATCGGACCAAGGAGACAGCCTGGGCCTGGATCTTCCTGATTTTCAGACATTGCACCAGGACTGATGAGGTTTCACTGTTTGGTTCCGATCTGCAGCGATCTGCCAATTTTGTTTTCGCAGAGAGGACGTTCCTGAAGAAGTGTCACTCATGGGCAAGGTGTGTATTCTGCATGTATATACATTACATACAGCCTGCTATTTCTCTGGCAGGTGCCGTATGACAACCGCCAACATCAAGAGAAGGCCGGTTCCTTGGAGGCTTTCCAGTCACTCGTATCGGCTGTCAAAGTCATCGTATTTGTGCAGTGATTTATTTGAATTTTCGAGTTTGGATCTTGACAATTATTGAGGACATTCATTTTCGAGATCTCCAGCTGCTGTAGTAATTTTTTAGTTTGGATCTTGACAATTTTTGTAAACTGATAAGTATAACAGTATAACCATACTCTGGTATGCCACAAGGTTGCTGCCGCTGGCTTGCAGACTGGCATGTCAGAAACGAATAAGAAGGCAATCAGTGGAGCGATTCGATGATTTACTAAATTGTCAAGTTACAGAGCTGAATCATTCAAAAGATGATGTTTTAGTACACCATGAGGCACTGGTCGAAGAAGAGAAACTCTTGGACGAGGTTTTCTACTGCTGTCAGTATTCAGTATGATTCATTGTGCTGTCCACATAGCATGCATATATATATATATATATATCATCATTTCTCTGCCAGGTGATGGAAGCAGGATCGATGTCTAAAAGGAAGCAAGAAGTGGTCACACTCAGAGACCATGTTGGCGCAACGGTTGAGAGTTATTGGAATTGTGCAATCGAGAGTTGATTGTATAACTGAGCTTACCAATGCATGAGAGTTCGATCTTTCAATTGTGCAATCGATATAGTTGGTTGTATTGCTGAGCATACTATGAGAGTTCTTTCAATTGTGCAATCGAGAGTTGATTGTGTTGCTGAGCATACAAGACGTCTCAGAAATGCTTGGTGACATATCGTCATTGCACTTCTCTTTTTATGTATAGCTGCCATGCAGACATTGAGGTACGCGAGGAAACTGTTGTATCACTCCTCAGTGACGAATCTGACAATGAAGGGAACAAAAAAAAATCAGAGCCATCGTGTAAGCAAGGAAAGCGTACGCCCATGAAGGCACTGAAGAGACCAGCTAGCAACAAACCAAAACAAGTTGCCAAGCAAAAAAAGACAGGCGCCGAGAAAGAAAAGACATGTTCCGAGAAAGAAAAGGAAGGGGACAAGAAAGAAATGCGAGAAGTTCCATCGAACCCCAAAAAGAACTATCTTAAAAATTACTACAAAAAAACAGGTTTTGCCTCATTGAGAAACAACTTTTCTCATGGATCACAACTGTTTCAATTTGGCAAAGGCTACACAAAGGAAACGCTGTACGAAATATTGGATGCGTGCATTGAGTGCCTGAATGATGGCACCATCTCAGAAGAGGACGCCCAGAAGTTTTGCGTGGACAAGCTGCCACAAGATGTAGAGTAGAATTGGAACATTTCTCAGATGCTTGATCGTTGGCAAACCTGGGAGCAAAAACCTGAATACGTCCGAAACTTTGCTGTAAGGAGCTGTTCCATTGTCCATTTTTTGCATATGCAATTTGTATCAAAAACTTCTGCCTGCGGAATGCTATATCCAGCTTTGCAGATCAAATTATTCGGAAAAAAATCTTAGGTGCGTATATACCTAGTTGGCCATATAGCTATGTCGGTGTGGCGTCTGAGAGAATGCCCTGCACAGCCAGACACTCTTAAGACCATCAATGAACTCTGGGAAGGCCTTACTGAGCTTGGCCAATCCTTGGGGCCGGTTGCATCTCATAGGCTTGAAATGGTGTACAGGTTCAGTTTGAAACCCGGTACGACCTTCATGTTGACTCTGTCGCCAATGGTTGCAGTGAAGTTGATGGTGGTGGCTGTTCTGCCTCGTGGATTGCTGCTCTGGCGTCCGACAACAGAGCGCTGTCACCCAAGTGAAGTTCCTTTATACCTCGCAAAACGAGAAAAGGATTACACAAGCAAGCTGATCAGCTACACGGTTGATGCCATAGTTCCTGGCACTGAAATGGAAAGTGCAACAGCAATGGTCACATGCACCGATCTAGCTGGCAATGAAGTCCACAAATTGACATATTCAACGACGACATCATTGCAGAGAGTGTTGATCGATGTAGCAGTAGAACTTCATGAGGAGGCAGCTTGACGGGATGTAGAAATATATATATTTATCATATTGTAACTACACTCGAATCATACCTGCATGCGTATTTAAAATTAGTTTTGTATGATAATGTTTTGTGAGAGTTTGCCTGCAGAGAGTCACGAGAGTTTGCCAGAAATGATGCTCCAAGTTTCTTAGCTGTCCTGTCCAGTGAAAGCAGGACTTACTTTTCAAGAACGATGTTATGATTAAGCTGATCAAGGGAGAGGCGGTCCTGACACCGAATGACCTTCTTCAGACAATCTTAGAGGAACCTACGTCATCTTGGGATGATCCAGAGACAGCGTGGCAAGACCGATGCTATCTCAGAGACAATTTTGTTGGAGCAGACCTCGGTGGGCTGCAAAGCTGGATGGGCAAGCTTAAGATCAACACCCGGACTGTTCAGGCCAAGGCCAAGGCAAAGGCCAAGTCCAAGGCGAGGCCGAGTCCAAATCCAAGACCAAGGGCAAGGAGAAGGCAGAGGACAAGTCCAAGGCAAAGGCCAAGGCAAAGTCCAAGGCAAAGGCCAATCCGAAAATTCAACGTCCATCGGCTTTGAAGAGGCCGGCGACAAAGTCCACCAAGAGCCCGGCGGCCAAAAAGGCAACAGAAAGGAATCTTCTGGGCCCACTTGGAGCTGAATATGATTTCCGTGGAATGGTGGAAGGAGTCAAGAAGAATGGCACGAAAGGAATCAAAAAGCCAGCGGCAGCAAAGAAGGTTGCAAAGAAGCCGCTACCAGCCAAAGAACTTGGAGAGTGGATGGCAGAGATGTCAGCTCGAAATCAGGCTGCACTCCAGGCCGAAAAGGCCACTAGTGATGAATCGTAGAGAAGAGGGCCACAGCTTGGCAATTTTGTGATGAATCGTAGAGAAGAGGGCCACAGCTTGGCAATTTTGATATGTCCTCAATGCTTTAGGATCTGCTAGCTTCGATATCACAGGATGGACGGCGCAAAAGATTACTTCATTGAAAAATTGTTTCAGCTGCGGCAGTAAAGTTTCGATGCGCAAAGCACACCATTTGAACTTTGCTTCTTTGGCTCAACATTGATCAGGCTTTCAATTGTTGGAAGGGATGTCGAATCAATATGAGTCATGTTCCGGTGCGGAGCGACATTGCAATACGACAAGTCTCTCAAAGCAGTTCAAGATGTGATCTTGATAAGCGCATTAATCTGTTCCTCTGGCGAGTGCACCTGAGACACTCTTGGTAGCACGCGGGCCATGTGGTATGTTAGGAAAGTACCGGCAAATTTGACCAAGCAGATTCTGGAAAAGTACCTGGATGGGTACGTTACCTGTCACAGCAGCGCACTGAGTTGCTTTGGGAGTTCATTTTATTCAGTTTTCATTTCTTTTGCATCCAAGGACAAAGACAAGATACAGGGTACATGTCCTTGACATCCGGAGCTTCCTATTACCGATTGCAATATGTTCAGGGCTCAAATTATGATCTGTGCAGTTGTCGTTTTGCTTCTTTCATTATTGGTTTGCAATCCGCACATCAAAATCAACCAAGGTACTCGGTTGGCTAGCTACCGAGCACATCATAGAATTGCACCATCACGCAACACACGAACCTGGTCTCTTCGAGACAACACGCGCGGAACTCATTTTATGCTGGAAAACTCAAAGCCTATTATCAGCTATGAACCAAGGTCCGCGCTTCCAGCATGAGGCATCCTATCCGCAGAGTAGCGCAAGTTGTCCCAGAGGCAGGTCTTCCCAGATGGTCTCAAACATATTCATTCCACATTGAAAAGATGTCAAAAAATGTAGCATGCATCAGGAGTTCCGGAACCTATGAGACCGCCACCTTGGCTATCAGGATGATGCGACCTTTTTGAATTCTTTTGATACTCAGCCATGCTTCAAAAGGTAGATGGACCACAAAAAGACATAACATGTAGCATGCATCAGGAGTTCTGGAACCTATGGGACCGCCACCTCGGCTATCAGGATGATGCGACCTTTTTGAATTCTCTTGATACTCAGCCATGCTTCAAAAGGTAGATGGACCACAAAAAGACATAACATGTAGCATGCATCAGGAGTTCCGGAACCTATGAGACCGCCACCTTGGCTATCAGGATGATGCGACCTTTTTCAATTCTTTTGATACTCAGCCATGCTTCAAAAGGTAGATGGACCACAAAAAGACATAGCATGTAGCATGCATCAGGAGTTCCGGAACCTATGGGACCGCCACCTCGGCTATCAGGATGATGCGACCTTTTTGAATTCTCTTGATACTCAGCCATGCTTCAAAAGGTAGATGGACCACAAAAAGACATAACATGTAGCATGCATCAGGAGTTCCGGAACCTATGGGACCGCCACCGCTACCACCACCACCTTTTCCACCACTACCTTTTCCACCACTATCACCACCACCACCACCACCAACAGAGACACAAGGAGCCACTGGTGATATATTGTCCTTATAGTACTTGAACATCTTGGAACAATTTGCAGACGCTTGCGCTGTCAAACATTTGATACCTGCAAGTGTACTTGGTAACATTCGATAGATTCGTCTTTCCTCACTGCAGGAGCACCTCGACCAACAAAAAAACGGGCGCCTGCGACGAAAGACCAAGGCCTGTACAGGTTATATTGTTGATTTCTTGTTGGTTAGGGAAATCAGTTCAAAGCAGTGATGTGTGTGCGTGCCATGAACTGCTGCTAGTGATTGATGGGTTCCCCGTTGCTCCAGAGCAGAATCCACATGTGACATCAACATGAAGGCGAAAGTTCCAAGAGACCAAAAAAAACAAAGGGTCCAGGTCGGGTGCACAGTCCTTTTGCTTTTGATTAACGGCAGCTGACACTTAGTCACTAAACATTTTTCAATATGATGATTTGACAGTTTTTCCCATTTCTGCAAAAACAGGTATTGAATGTGCTGAACGGCGCAAGGAGGATGGCGAGAGGATCGCATTCGTGGTGGTCCGAAAGAAAGGCGCATTCAAGTTTTTGTTCAGGTGAATTGTTTTCAACATCCAGCCGGTAGCAGCTGTCCCTGGTGGCTGTAGCAGTCTTCACCAAGAAAATGTTGAAAACCAACATGGTTTGACATGTTCACAGTGGCAGTGGATTATGCAGGTTGAGGCGTCGAGTTTGTTGCATTTTGCGTTCACATGGCATGCAAGTATATGTTTGATTCAAGTTTTCGTTTCTGTCAACTCTGTGTTCAAAGAGCAGATGAGATCTGCTGTGGACCGTCAGGATCCTCAGGTGCATAAACGGCAGACTATCTGAAAACGGTGCAAGAAAAACCAGAGTGAGCCTTGAGATGCTCATTTGCGTTGGAATCTTCAATCGTCGGAACAGTGAATTGAACTTTCTCATTGAACAGTTGGTGCAAGACTTCAGTGAATTGAACTTTCTCATTTCTCTTTTGGTGCAAAACTTCCTTGCATTTAGCTATCACATTGATCTTTCACATTGAACTTTTAGGGCAAAACTTCAACACGTTGAACTTTTGCATTGAACTTTTGGATTGAACTATTGAACTTTTGTTGATGCAAAACTTCAATGCATTGAACTTTTGCATTGAACTTTTGATGCAAAAGTTCAATGCATTGAACTTTTGAACTTTTGATTAACAATTTTTTTGATTAAAAGTTCAATGCATTGAACTTTTGCATTGAACTTTTGATTAAAAGTTCAATGCATTGAACTTTTGCATTGAACTTTTGAAAACAATGCATTGAACTTTTGCATTGAACAGATGAAACTTCAGTGCATTGAACTTTTGCATTGAACTTTTACATTGAACTTTTGATTCAAAACTTCAGCACATTGAACTTTTGCATTGAACTTTTACATTGAACTTTTGACTCAAAACTTCAGCACATTGAACTTTTGCATTGAAGTTATGGTGCAAAAGTTCAACGCATTGAACTTGTGCATTGAACTGTCTGAGCAAAACTTCAATATAATGATCTTTCACATCGACCTTTTCACATTGAACTTTTGTTCCCAAACTTCAATGCATTGAACGTTGGTGCATTCGGTTACTTATTCCAGTGAACTTTTGCGCATTGGATTTGTTGTCCAACTTTGGGATTGGAGATTCGTCACAGCTAATTGATTCTGCAGGATGCTAAGAGCGTTTATGTGGACTGCCTTTGAGCCAACTCCACATCAGTCAAAGCAAGTTGGCCTTCATCTTGAAAGGATTGCTGGCAACATATATATTAATTCTTTCCGACTGCTGACATGCTGAGAAAATAATTCCTGACGCCTACGCCTTTCAGCAAGTGAAAAAAGGGCTGCATTCTGTTGGATACGAGCTGCAGCATGGAATGAAAAGGATCAACCCTAAACCCTAAACATTAGGGCACCAGAAAAAACGGCAGCATTCTGTTGGATGGGAGCTGCAACTGAGATTGAAAAGGAAGAACCCTAAACCCTAAACCCTAAAACCCTAAACCCTAAACCCTAAACCCTAAAACCCTAAACCCTAAACCCAAAAACCCTAAACCTTAGGGCATCAGAAAAAACGGCAGCATTCTGTTGGATGGGAGCTGCAACGGAGATTGAAAAGGAAGAACCCTAAACCCTAAACCCTAAAACCCTGAACCCTAAACCCTAAACCCTAAAACCCTAAACCCAAAAACCCTAAACCTTAGGGCATCAGAAAAAACGGCAGCATTCTGTTGGATACGAGCTGCAACAGAGATTGAAAAGGAAGAACCCTAAACCCTAAACATATATATCATATACATATATATCATATGTATATTTAAACCTTAATACCCCTGTTGCCCCTCCTGGGCATGCTTTAGCCCCTGGGTACTCCCCAAGCTTTCCCCCAAGCTTCCCCCTTTGTCTAGCCTTGCTTTAGTCCAGCCTTGCTTTAGCCCAACCTTGGATCCCCAAACCCTGAACCCTTCAAACCCTGAACCCTCCAAACCTTGAACCTTCCAAACAAGGAACCTCCCGAACCACCATTTCAATCTTCCAGGGAACTCCCTAAAACCAACATTTCCAGCTTCTGGAAGACATTCTGAAAGCAATTCAAATGTGAGGGGAGCCGAAGGGCTGGTGGGGTAAACCCAAGGAAGGTATATCTCTGTCAAACAGAGTCTTTGACCCTAAAACCCTAAACCCTAAACTCTAAAACCCTAAACCCAAAAACCCTAAACCTTAGGGCATCAGAAAAAACTGCAGCATTCTGTTGGATACGAGCTGCAACGGAGATTGAAAAGGCAACCCTAAACGCTAAACATAAGGGTACCAGAAAAAAGAGCAGCATTCTGTTGGATAGGAGCTGCAACGGAGAGTGAAAAGGAACAACCCTAAACCCAAAACCTCAGGGCACCAGAAAAAAGGGCAGCATTCTGTCGGAAACTTAATTAACCTTAACTTCACCCGAATTGACCGAAAACCATGATCCCGAAAACCCTGATACCCTTAATCTTAACATTCCCTTAATTTACCGTAAACCCTGATCCCGAACCTCAAGCCCAGAAAGGCATGTCCTCTTTGCCCAGATATTTGCACGAATAATTTTGGTTCGAGAACACGTTCGGTTCCTTGATCATTGCCATTGCGTTCTTGCATCCGTGGCTCCGATTCTGAACTGGTTGCGCCCTGGAATTGGGAGCTTTTATCATGGATACAAGAGGCAAACGGAATCAACCAGTACAGTATGTACCTGCAGCAGGTCCGCAGAAAGGACCGAAAAAAAGGCATTCTACAGAAGGGAACACACCTGCAGCAGGTCCGCAGAAAGGACCGCCAAAAAGGCATTCTACAGAAGGGAACACACCTGCAGCAGGTGAGCAGAAAGGACCGCCCAAAAGGCATTCTTAAGAAGGGAACACACCTGCAGCAGGTCCGCAGAAACCCAAAAAAAAACAAGAAAAAACAGAAACACCCAGAGAAACGCAAAGTGGAACCATTTACGAGTGGATCAGCATCAACGAAGGATTGGCATGGAGCACTATAAGAAGCCAGCCTGGCTGGATAAGACGGATGCTTTGGATCTCTCGGAATACGAAAAGCATTTCCAGTCTTTGAACCAAGGACAGCTTTGTTCGTCGATTGTGTTATTCCTCAGTGTATTGTTCTCCGTCATTCATTCCTGGAAACCGGATCGTTCGTTTCGGAATTACTGCCCAATGAACACATCGCCTGCCAGAGCCCTCTGTTTTCTCAATACGCTTCGCTTGACTGAAAAAGAAAGGAAGGGAATGGAGAAGGCTCTGCAGCAAGATGTTGCTTATGGTGCTTTGACTGCAATTAACCAGAGCGAAGAATCCAAGAAAAATCTTCCAGCGGAACCAGAAGACAGTGCGGCCAAAAAGGAGAAGAACAACCTCAATAGGAGGCCCCTGGAGGAGATAGTGCCCATTATGCACGGTACTTTCAAGAAGATGCTGTTCAAGTTTGTGACTCAGCAATGGAGCGCAGTTCTACGTGATGAGAACTGGAATGGTTGGGATGAGTTCAAAGAGTACTTTGGGTCGATGCACTTCATGGCCATTGCTGGGGTTGGAAGAAAAAAGACATTCAATATGAAGCATGGGATGAGTTGAAGGATTTCGTAGAGTCGGATCCGTGTTGCGAGGACTTGAGAGCTAAGACATACTCTCCTGAAGAGCTCGACGAAGCCCAAGCTAGATTGATTGCCTACGTCAGGAAGGGGGAGGCGGAGGAGCCACAAACGCAATCTTCTTCTTGGAAGTCAGCTCCTATTTCAACAGAGCCACCAGGTTCTGCTTCGAATGAGGCAGCTAGAGAAGAGACACCTCCTGATGCAGAAACAACGGTGATAAATCAAGCGATGGCCGACATTAACTTGTGGAAAGAGGAGCAAAAAGTAAATGAAATCAATGAAGCGATGAAGCTTTTGGAAAATGCAAAATGGCTCATGAAGGCGCCACATGATCACAAGAATGACTTCGATGCATTGATTGAGATGTCCAGGAAATTCCAATCATCAAACAATCTCAAAGATATTCATGAACTTCGTCAAACAGCTTCCTCGTGGCCAACAAGTTTGAGAGCCTACGCAATCCTGCCATTTCTTGCTCTTCAAAAATTGGAAAAGGATAGCAAAATGCCAATGATCATTCACAACCTTTCTGATCGTGGTATTCGCAAGCAGGCAGGAGAATGCGACTATCATGATCCCGGCAATGTGGCACTGGATTTCAGTTATTTTGTACTGCAGCTTTGGAATTTTGTGCTACCAACGAAACATTCTTCGGCCAATCAGGTCGCTTGGCGCCCCTACGGCGACACCAAAGAACGATCCGGCATTGGGGCTATGAACCGCAGAGGCAATATGATCGAAGCCTTGCTGTCGAATGCCATGTACAACATGAAAAAAGAGAAGCAAAGACAGGAGAATGCCGGTCAAGAAAAGTCTAGGTGGAATGCTGGCAGAGAAGGACGTGGGAAATCTGGTCGAAAAGTGCTACCAGAGCGTGGTGCTGGACAGGCAAAACAGCACCGATCTGGATAGTGAGCGGGTTCCCATAGGTCGATTTGGCTGCCTGTTTTGGAGATGTTAACTCTATATATCTCCCGCCTGGCATATGTACCATATACCAGCGACAAGAGCTGCCTGGAAAAAACGCTGACGTTCGATCTGCATTGGTAGTTTCTTGTTGCATTGGAGGTCACATATATTCAAAGATCTCATCCCCTTTAACCCTGGAATATTTGGGGGTGGGTAAGGCAAGAATATTCTGAGAAATATTTCACCTGACCATGTGAAATATATCCACACCACGTGCTTTTTTGGCTTCGAAAAAACTTGGGGATTGTCCTCCGGATGCCACATTTTAGCCCAGAGATGGTACGACACACCCTTTCATTTTGCGTAAAACGAGCGCGCGTCTGATTTTGATTCAATACTTGGGGGAAAAACTCGACGCCTTCCTGATGAAGACTGCTACAGCCATCAGGTAAAGCTGCTACCAGCTGGGCGTTGAACATTTCTTTTGTCCAGATCCTTGCAAATTTTGGTTCAGTACTTGGGGGAAAAAACTCGACGCCTTCCTGATGAAGACTGCTACAGCCATCAGGTAAAGCTGCTACCAGCTGGGCGTTGAACATTTCTTTGTCCAGATCCTTTCAAATTTTGATGAAGACTGCACAGCCATCAGGTAAAGCTGCTACCAGCTGGGCGTTGAACATTTCTTTTGTCCAGATCCTTTCAAATTTTGATTCGCCTTCCTGATGAAGACTGCAACAGCCATCAGGTAAAGCTGCTACCAGCTGGGCGTTGAACATTTCTTTTGTCCAGATCCTTGCAAATTTTGGTTCAGTACTTGGGGGAAAAAACTCGACGCCTTCCTGATGAAGACTGCTACAGCCATCAGGTAAAGCTGCTACCAGCTGGGCGTTGAACATTTCTTTTGTCCAGATCCTTGCAAATTTTAACATCAGTCCAGATCCTTGCAAATTTTGGTTCAGTACTTGGGGAAAAACTCGACGCCTTCCTGATGAAGACTGCTACAGCCATCGGGTAAAGCTGCTACCAGCTGGGCGTTGAACATTTCTTTTGTCCAGATCTTTGCAAATTTTGGTTCAGTACTTGGGGGAAAAAACTCGACGCCTTCCTGATGAAGACTGCTACAGCCATCAGGTAAAGCTGCTACCAGCTGGGCGTTGAACATTTCTTTTGTCCAGATCCTTGCAAATTTTGGTTCAGTACTTGGGGGAAAAAACTCGACGCCTTCCTGATGAAGACTGCTACAGCCATCAGGTAAAGCTGCTACCAGCTGGGCGTTGAACATTTCTTTTGTCCAGATCCTTGCAAATTTTGATTCAGTACTTGGGGGAAAAAACTCGACGCCTTCCTGATGAAGACTGCTACAGCCATCAGGTAAAGCTGCTACCAGCTGGGCGTTGAACATTTCAGTGTCACCAAAACTGGTTTTGTCCAAATCTTTGCAAATTTTGATTCAATACTTGGGGGGAAAAATCGACGCCTTCCTGATGAAGACTGCTACAGCCATCAGGTAAAGCTGCTACCAGCTGGTTCTTTTGTCCAGATCCTTGCAAATTTTGGTTCAGTACTTGGGGGAAAAAACTCGACGCCTTCCTGATGAAGACTGCTACAGCCATCAGGTAAAGCTGCTACCAGCTGGGCGTTGAGCATTTCTTTTGTCCAGATCCTTGCAAATTTTGGTTCGGTACTTGGGGGAAAAAACTCGACGCCTTCCTGATGAAGACTGCTACAGCCATCGGGTAAAGCTGCTACCAGCTGGGCGTTGAACATTTCAGTGTCACCAAAACTGGTTTTGTCCAAATCTTTGCAAATTTTGGTTCAGTACTTGGGGAAAAACTCGACGCCTTCCTGATGAAGACTGCTACAGCCATCAGGTAAAGCTGCTACCAGCTGGGCGTTGAACATTTCAGTGTCACCAAAAGTGGTTGTGTCCAGATCTTTGCAAGTTTTGGTTCAGTACTTGGGGAAAAAAACTCGACGCCTTCCTGATGAAGACTGCTACAGCCATCAGGTCAAGCTGCTACCAGCTGGGCGTTGAACATTTCAGTGTCACCAAAACTGGTTTTGTCCAAATCTTTGCAAATTTTGGTTCAGTACTTGGGGAAAAAACTCGACGCCTTCCTGATGAAGACTGCTACAGCCATCAGGTAAAGCTGCTACCAGCTGGGCGTTGAACATTTCAGTGTCACCAAAAGTGGTTGTGTCCAGATCTTTGCAAGTTTTGGTTCAGTACTTGGGGAAAAAAACTCGACGCCTTATTCCTGATGAAGACTGCTACAGCCATCAGGTAAAGCTGCTACCAGCTGGGCGTTGAACATTTCTTTTGTCCAGATCCTTGCAAATTTTGGTTCAGTACTTGGGGAAAAAAACTCGACGCCTTCCTGATGAAGACTGCTACAGCCATCAGGTAAAGCTGCTACCAGCTGGGAGTTGAAATGTTTGCTGAGTTTAGGTGAAGTATTTTTTGATATGAAAGCATCGAAAGCTTTGGTGGGAGGTTCAGGAGGCCTTTGATAGTGCGAAGAGTTTGGTGGCTACTTTATGCATGCTTTCTGCGTCTGCAGTTCAGTTTTCTGTTCAAAAAAAATGCCCAAACGCACCGCTGGAGACGCCATGCTGCCCAACTCTGACCAGATGGAACGATTGATGGCAGATTCCTACGGAAGTTGTTTTGTCAACGCTCAATCAGCATCAGCAGATCCATCGGCATCTGTAGGTGACTCGGCAACTGCAGTTGAGTCGGCACATGCAACTGAGTCGGCACCTGCAATTGAGCCAACACCTGGAAATGAATCAACGCCTGCGACAGGAGAACCGGGCCGCTTTTCATTCAAGGCCGTTCATACCTTCCAATTCCAGCTTGTCACCGACCGTCACCGTGAACATGAACCAACCCTTCTCGTCAGCATGGGGAAACCAAGCACGGTGGCTTGGTCTGCAGGCCTTCTTCTACAGTGTTACACAAGACCATGCGATGGCAAGACAGCAGGCAGAGTATTGGCGATGGTATTACGAGAATGCAAATGATGGGCAGCTCATTGCAGATCTGACTGCTGATTCTGGACATGGGAATCGTTCGTTCGAGGACATGGAAGATGTTAAAAGCTGAGACGCCATCTGCAGCTCAGAAATTCGTCATTTCTGCAGATCCGACTGCCTGTTTTGAGATCATCTACCGTGATGTGATTTGTTAATATATAGCTGTTGTGGAGTTGATTTCCCGCCGGGAGTGTACCATATGCCAGATGTACCGTGGAGTAGATTTCTTCCGATGGTTAAAATAGCTACGAGATGCTGCCAGAGTGTTTTCCAGTCCAGCGTATCAACATGCATTGAATGAACGCTTTCCTGATGTTGCCAGCTGGTCACAAGAAATTTTACGGTCATTCCTTCATAGTTCATACTTCACAATTTTTGTCATGAGCATTGCCTATAATCTTTACGCTGCTCAGCTGGCTTGGCTCTCAACTTCCACATGGTAGATAAGCAGCTGCAGCTATGACCAATCGACATGCCAGAAGCAGATCACCTCCTGTGCCCACAGAACGTGTGCCCAAAGAGCAACTTCCTCCTTTTCGTCCAGTGATTCTCATGGTAGATATGATGCCTCTGAAATCCTTACATGAAATCAATGAGGATCGCTTCAAACCTCTTGTGAGTGTTATTGCCAGTCATATCGACGATGAGGAGATGAAACGTGCATTTTCTTACTCCAAATTCATTCCTCCAGATCGCTTGGACGTAGTCACTGTCCGTGACGTCACAAAGAAAGTTTGCAAAAGATTCTTCGCTCATTTCAACGTCAAGCTGATCCAAGAAGAAGTTGAACTACATATTGATGATGCTTTCGGTCGACGTGAGCTTCTGCCTCAGTGGACTATCCTGGAGGTACTGCGAGGAAAGCAACCCGGATGGGAGAGGATTCCTGATGGTGTGGAAAGCGCGCACACACTGCGCGTCACGTGTCATCGAGGTAGGTTCCTCAATGATCAATGAACAATTGGAACACTTGTTTTCACGAGAATGAAACAGACAGAACCTCTCCGAACGAAAAAGTTTAGCCGCTTGGCTTAGCCGCTTCCTTGATCAGCACTGATTGTGACTCTTTCAATCTGTTTGCTTTGGGCACATATATCTGATATCTGATATATGATATATTTGTTGTTTGTAAATAAATATATGTATATATAACGAAATAAATCCTGCTTTGACCTCCTGCATGCAGCAAGAGGATCTCATGGGCAAGATCAAACAATTAATGATTAAGTGCGTTCAGTCGGCCAAACCGATCACAGCTGTGCACAAGGCCTATTATATTTTGATATATTTTGTGTGTGCGTGCACTAATGCATGGTGCCTTTTGGACAATGCCTCCATTCAGCAGCTCAAAATGGCCATGGACACGTTCTTACGGTCTGAATTTTAGTGTTCAAGCAGCGATCTACCTCGATAGATAGATAACATAGCTTTGAGTTGCCATGGCAGATGTGACAGAGATGTCTCTTCGAAATCGAGGCCTCGCCTTTGGCCAAGGTGGATATCCTAGGCATCAGTTTTCGGATTACTACTACATTTTATGTGCCAATTGCCAATATTCTCAATCACCCCAGTGGATGTGGTCGAACGTGGCATGGGAAACGCCGACTTCCTGCCGGGAATGCGGACTTGCTTTCGCTGAATCATTCAAGAGAAATGGTATGAAGTTGTGGACAGAGGAACTTGAGCTCCAGCGCCGCATCTTGGATTTGAGAAAATTACTTTCTGAGCTACGATTAGAACTTCAGGAGATGGAATGCAGAATGATGACCTTGAGAAGCTGTTACCATGGAATAGAAGAAACCATCGTAGGGTTGGAGAACCTTCGACAGCGATTCAATGTCTGAGAGAGTTAGTCCGAAAGCTTTTGGTGGAAGCCATGTCATAAATTCTGTGAGAGCCGAGCTTTAGGTGAAAATAAAAGCTGTCGCGTTGCGTCTCGAGATTATTTGTGGACCTGCTTTGCATTT